GTGCTTCTGGCAAAGTGGCTGCAGATGCGATGCTCCAAAGACACCCTCCTGGGGTTCAATTAATCTATGAGTTGGAGCGGCTCATGGGACATAGAGGAGGAACATTTTACTTCTTGGACCACCGGTTCGTTATAAAAGGACATAACTTGGAAATCGATGGAAGAGATGCGTACAGCAAAGTATGGGGGAAGGCGCTTCTTCCACGGTTCTCCAGGACAGCCACTGTCCCCAAGTCACATGCTCACTAACCTGGAAGCTCTCAGCCTTTTGGGTTTCTATGGAGGCTTCATCACATAGGCATGATTGATTACATCGTTGGCCACTGGTGATTGGACTCAATCTCCAGTCCCCTCCCCTCCCGGGAGCTCAAGGATAGGGTCAGGGCTCAGGGCGAGGAGGTGGTGGGGTGGGGGTGGGGGTAGACGGAAGCTTCCAACCCTCTCATCACAGGGTTGGCTCCTCTGGCAACCGGCTTCCATCCTTAGGTGACCTAGGAGTCCCCCCAAAGTCATTCCTTAACATACAGAACAGACTTTTGTGGTTCTCATCAGTTAGGAAATTCCAAAGGTTTTAGGAACTCTGCTAGGAATGGGGAATAAGACCAAATACATATTTCTTATGTTAAATCACAATACCACACTCTCCAAGAATTCATCTACAACACTGAGAATTGAGAAGTTAACCATTATTTGATGTAGCTTCTCGCTGGATATAAGAGACTGTCTTTGGAATTCAAGACATCTGACGGAGTGAATCTTGCTTACATTAAGCCCAACTCTGCCTCCCTGAATTATCCACCAAGTGGTTTTTGTTCTCTAAAAGAGTAATTTGGGTCATCCAGCGACTGCCTTTCAAGTGCTATTATGTAAAATCCAAGTTTTATTTTTTTATTTATTTTTATTTTTATTTCTTTTTAAATCCAAGTTTTAATCATAGCTCCTTATTTTTTTATCTTAGGGAGTCACTTCTCCACTCTCTCAGTTTACCTACAAAATGGCAGATGCCGCTTTGCTTATGTCCTAGGGCTGTTGGTAAAGGGGAAAAAAGACAGCAGTCATTTATTAAACATCCGCTCTGTTCCAGGTGCTGTGGTGAGCGCTTTATACACATTGAGCTCTTAATACCTCTGGTCCTATGAGACATTTGAGTGAGGACAAAGTCGAGGCTAAGAAAAATTAAATATTAAAAAGAAAGAAAGAAAAATTAAATATTTTGCCCAATTACTACACAGGTAGCAACAGAACCAGAATTTGAACGCGGGTTTGACCGGTAGCCTATTTTACTATTTGGCCTGCTATGAGCTGCTACTTAGGAAAGCACTTACTAAATTTCAATTATTCGAATATCTCAAGTGCTTTTCTTGAGCTTCTTTTTCTCTGGGAAAAACATTCTCAGTCTTTTCTTTGGAAGATTTTAAGTACTCTCTGCACATGATGTGGGGCTCGAACTTGCAGCCCTGAGATCAAGTACTGCATGCTCTACGGGTTGAGCCAGCTGGGGGTCCATCAGGTTTACCTTGATGAGCTATCATTTCCCTTTATCCACATCATTAGATTCCCTCGACTCATGGACTAGCATGTTTTTAATGTTCCAAAACTAGGGGTGGTGGAAGGGGAGGAGGGCGGGGGGTGGGGGTGAATGGGTGATGGGCACTGAGGGGGGCACTTGACAGATGAGCACTGGGTGTTATTCTGTATGTTGGCAAATTGAACACCAATAAAAAATAAATTTATTATTAAAAATAAATAAATAAATAAATAAATAAATAAATATTAGTAAAGCTTAAAAAAAACCTACAGTAAGGATGTCTGGGTGGTTCAGTGGTTGAGCATCTGCCTTTTGCTCAGGGCATGATCCCAGCCAGAGTCATGGGATGGAGTCCCACATCAGGCTCCCTATAGGGAGCCTGCTTCTCCCTCTGCCTATGTCTCTGCCGCTCTCATGAATAAATAAACAAAATTATTTTAAAATTATATAAATAAATAATAAAATCTTCAGTAAATCAGAAAACACAACTTTTAATGTGGGCTGACACCAATTAAGAAACACTGCTGAATGTTATTCCACCCAATATGCCATGTATTCAAACCGGAAAAAACAACATGCTTATTGTATGTGTTCCAAATCTACATATCAATGAGAAGGATGCCATCATCCCTGTTACCATGTTAGTTTGGGTAAAAATAGATGAGGATGCAGCTAAGTTGCATAAAATTTTACTGGAGAAAAAAGATGTCTGAACATACTTCGATGGAAGAATTTTTCACTAAATTGCTGCTTCCCCACCACCTCTTAAACTTAGTTTTTCTTCTCTTCTTAATTTTACATTCTAAGAATTTATAGATAACTTAAAACTTTTGTGATTAATATGGCCAATAAAATCTTTAAATGTTAAAAAATAAAATAAAATAAAATGTAGCAACCAGAATGGGAAGTCACGTCTTAATGTGTCCAGAGTTGGAAAACCCAAGGCGGGCAATGCTTCTCCAGTGCATAACATTCATTTTCTTCTAGTTTCTTCATCCAGACAAGCTAAGGCTGTGTTATCATCCTACCCTATAAGCTTTTAGGGTCTGACCCGCTGGAACCTGGCTTTGAGATGAAGGAGTCAGTGTCGAATCTGAGTCCAGAATCTTCAGAAATGCTCATAAGGAGCTCATTGAAGTGGGGCTACGGTTACAGGAACATCCTCCCAGACCTAACTGTATTTTAGGGCCTCAGAGGCCTAAGAGAGAAGAGTTTCAGTGTTCAGTGGTTTGGGGCGGGACAGTCTCTTTTATCTACATAGTTGAACTGGGATCCCTGGGTGGCGCAGCGGTTTGGCGCCTGCCTTAGGCCCAGGGTGCGATCCTGGAATCCCGGGATCGAATCCCACGTCAGGCTCCTGGTGCATGGAGCCTGCTTCTCCCTCTGCCTGTGTCTCTGCCTCTCTCTCTCTCTCTCTCTCTGTATGACTATCATAAATAAATTTAAAAAAATTTACATAGTTGAACTGTAAAACCAAGTTTCCAAATGCAGAAGAGCATGAAGGGAGTTCGTGTGATCACAGGGAGCCCCATCTCATTATCTAGGACTCGTTCTCATGGTGGCTCATGGGCCCCTGAGCTACATGTAGGGATAAGATTCAGAAAAAAAGCCAAACACCGTTAGTTTTTCAGATGTTGAAGCTTTCCAATTTCTAAATAATACACAGGGAGGTTGCTATACTTTTATTGCTTTTCACTACCTTGCTTTTCCACTTTGGGCCAAAACAAAATGAAAAGATGTTTTCTTTTTTGTACGAGAATGATTTTCTCTAGCAGTAGTTGTGAGAAAAAATTATGTGCAGTAACAGCCACCTATTTTTATATTAGAATGTCATTTAAAACGATTTGTTGGGGGTGACCTATGAAGAGGGAGACTAAAAACGATGAGTTTTACTGACGTCACCGGTTGAATGGTAAAGCGAAGGTAGCTCCTTTGTGAATAATATCTTAGTTTAAAAGGTGCCTTTCTGGGCACCTTTTCTTGAGCTCTATATTCAAAGGAATCTGAAAAAAAAATCTTTGGAGAGGCCGTCTAGAGTGGCCAGTCACTGCTGCCATGCTGTTGAAGCTTCCTTTCCTTCACTCGGGTTCCTATCGCGTATTTCCTCGTTTATATTTGCGAACTGTCTACCTCACCGCCCCTAGGGTGCAAATTCCAGACCAGGCTTGGCGAAGAAACCCCAGGACAGGACGTGGCTCATCGCGGGCACACGGTATTTGTCGAATGAGCAAATCCATCTTGAAAACACAGTTACTCCCCTACTCTAGACTAGCCCCCCAGTTGACAGTCCTCTGGTCTTTGTTTTTGCTGCTGTTCCATCGGTCGCCGATCGATTGTGTCTTTCCTGCTTCTCACTCTAGGTCTATTTATTTGCCGATGCAATTCCAGCCGTTCCCATTTGCCATAATACAGTGGAGAGCATTTATGGGACGCTGATAGGGCCTGTTTGGTGGGAGGAGTATCTTAACTAGGTTTTGCTAACAAAGTCATAGAGTTTGTGGATTTTTAAAGGAACACATCAGATTGGATTTCCCCCTCCCTTAAAAAAAAAGCTACATCACCGACTTGTGTTTTCTTGAGTGGGGCAGAAAGAGGCAGGCTGTGGGACTGGTCCCTAATTTCAGGTACCCAAAAGCAAGTACGTTGAGAAGGAGGACTGAGCTCCATTGTTCTAGAGGCAACTTTTGTGTCCACTGTCTGGGGTCTGAGGAAGGAGCTCATGTGAGAACCCTGGTGTTAGATGAAGACAAACCAAGTGCGGGTGGCCCAGTAGACACCACTGGATGCCTGGTAGGGTGGTTAGGTTGAGGCATATGGTTACACAGGACGGGTGGTGGTGAGCTCAGGGCCGGGGACTCAGTGTTCAGTAAATATGGGTCAAATTAAATATGGGACAAGGCTGGGCCTCCAACCAGACTTGACAGCCTCGCTTAGCAACCCGCATGGGGGCAGCTGGAGTCCCCGCTGGAACGGGGAGGGTTTGGCACAGGATGTTGGGAAAATCATTTCATTTCTTATGTGTCGGGGGATGGGAACTGAAGGGCAACAGCGCATTTCTTTGAGTCCTTGGAAGACGTCTTGGCCTTCACGTGGTCATGAAATGTGGTTGCTTTTCTTAAAGGGAGGATGGATAGAAAAACTCATCTTCATGTTGAATGATTTTAACAGTGATTTGTTATTTATATATTTCTTTCTAGCTGTGGATTTTTTTTTCTTTCTTCTTAAACTGCAAAAGAAATAGGTTCTGGCTATGAAATCCAAATCCGCACTGGGGGCAGTAAACTTTACCAAGTCGTTTGCCATGATAAAATTGCTTGTTAGCCCCACTTAACACGATCCGGGAGTTGGTAGAGACACCTTGATTTGTTCTTGTGGGGGATTTGCTTCTTAAGATAAGTCCACAATACCTAAAATGTTAAGGTGCAAATACGTAGCAGAGGTACTTATTCATCAAAAAAACACAAAAACAAACATTCAGGAGATCATATATTCGCCTCTGGGCTCAATAAAAGAGCTGAAGATATCTTGTTTTATAGTCACACATTTTATTACAAATTTATCTTATTTTGTACCCAATAGAAAAGCAAGTTTGGGATCTATTTACAAGTACTATACATTTACACATATTATATACAGTTAATGAGTTTTAAGAAAATGGGCAGAGAAACACAATATATACGGAAGATTATGCCACTGTACATGGTTCATTATCATGGTCCTCTGTGTTACTGAATCTTTGCTGTAGTAATAAATACAATTCTATATTTACACATCTTATAAAACATCTCATAAATGTATTTTTTTCAATTCCAAGTTAAAACATCTGATCAAAATAAACATGCTTATATAAAAATAAATCTACCTAACGGTCTTTTGGTTTGGATGTATTGAAGCTAATGTAGTATAATAGACGTTACAAATTAATCCTTTGACCTTTAGTATTTAATGATCTTGCTTCGTAAGATACTTAACACCTGTATTACGTATGGGGTAAGCAGAGAAGTCATGTTCCTGACATCAAGTGGGTTGGTCCAGAGACAACACAGCTAAAACCAAGCTAAGTAAAAAGGCTACGTCACCACGTCCCCGGTTGAGTCCAAAGTGGTTTCAGTCATCATTGCATGGAGCTACAGCAATATGTGTGCGAGAAGCTTCTATGCCAGTGGATTTCACTTGTGCTGGTCTGTGTTGGATCAGTTCCTTAAGATGCACATCGGTTCAAGCCACCTGATAAAGCCTCCTGCAAGGAGCCTGCACTCCCCTGAAGACCAACCAATCAACCACCCACCCACCCAAACCCCTCCCAGGTTGCTCGCCGTCTTTCCCAGGTATATATCGCTGGCAATGGACTTTTATTCTGAGCTCTGCACCGCAAGGAGGCGACCATGAATGCGACAAAGCAGACCTGGCTCCTACCCTGAGAGCCTCGGTGGCCACCTAGGCATCTAAGCTCATGTTCCTTTCGAAGCACTTGTAGGCAGTTGTACATCAGCAGGAACCATCTGCTGATAGATAAAACCTGGCGTCTCTAAGACTGACATGACTGTAGCTCATGAAGCCTTGCATTATCCACTGGGGGGGGGGGCCTGGAAGGATCCTTTGTGAGGAAGAGCAAAGGGCGGGGGCATTAAAAACAGTCCTACGGGTCATGGTCTTTCCTTACTGCCTGTTGAGGACTGTCTTCTGCAAAGAGCTGCAACCATCTTCTAAGGGTCTAAGACGTGACTGTAGCTCCTGAAGCCTTGCATTATCCACTGTGGGGGGGGGGGGGGCCTGGAAGGATCCTTTGTGAGGAAGGGCAAAGGGCGGGCATTAAAAGCAGAGTCCTGCGGGTCCGGCCTTTCCTTCCTGCCCGCTGGGGGCCGCCTTCCGCAACCACCTGCAACCACCTTCTATCTGAGCGTCTTTTCGGGTCTAGGTCGTCTTTGGTGGGCAGGTGGCTCGCCCCCGCCCCCGTCCCCCAAGTCGTCAGCCGGGCGGGTTGGAACCGTGGAGCATCTTCCGGGAAGGCTCTGCGGCACCGGGGCCTGCACAGCAGCGGCGGCGGCGGCCCGGGGGCCGGGGTGGGGCCTGCGCTGCCCGCGGGGGCGGCTCGTCCCCATCCTCAAGCTCGTCCTCATCGTCATCCTCCCCCGCGGGGGGGGGGGCGGGGGCGCGCCCCCGGGGCGGGGGCCGGGTCAGAGGCACGGCACGAAGGGCACGGAGGGCAGGCGGCAGCCCTGCGGGCCGGGGCGCGGCGGGTCGCGGGCCGCGGCGACCAGGGCCTGCGTGGCGTCGCCGGGGGCCTGCTTGTCGGCGTCGTCGGAGCTCACGGACGCCAGGCTGGGCTCCCTGGGCCTGGGCCGCCGCGGGCCGCCCGCCGGCGCCGGCCTGAAGTGCGGGTGGAAGAGGATGTAGAGCAGCGGGTTGAGGCAGGCGGGCAGCGGCGCCAGCACGAGCAGCACGAACCTGCTGAGCTCGGGGCCCGCGGCCGCCACGCCGAGCAGCGCGCACAGGCGCAGCAGCGCGGGCGGCCAGTACAGCACGCAGTTGGCGAGCAGCAGCAGCGCCGCGTGCCGGGCCGCCGCGTCCCCCGCGGGCGCGCACAGCAGCCGCGCCGCCGCCGCGCCCATCACCGCCGAGCACGCGCCGTTCAGCAGCTGCAGCGCCGCCGCGAAGGCCGCCGGGCCCGCGCCGCCCGGGGGCAGCGCCAGGCACAGCGGGGACGCGCCCCGCGCCGCCGCCCCGAGCAGCGGCCCCGCCGCCACGGCCGCCGCCGGCAGCGCGCACAGCGGCCCCGCCCGCGCGCCCCGCGCCCCCCGCGCGCCCCGCGCGCCCCGCTGCAGCGCCGCCGCCGTGAGCACGAACACGGCCGCCTGCGCCGCGAACAGCGACACGCACGCCAGCAGCCGGCAGCCGCCGCCCTGCTCCCAGCGCGCGCCGTGCCGGGCGAAGCTGCCGAACGTCGCCGCGTCCACCGCCGCCCGCGCCGCGCTCGCCGCCCCGGTCAGCAGGTCGGCGGCCGCCAGCCAGCCCAGCAGCCGCTGCGCCGGCCACGCGCCCGCCGGGGCCCGCAGCGCCGTCCACGCCACCGGCGCGTTGCAGCCGAGCGCCAGCACCGCCACGGTCCACACGCCCACGCGCGTCAGCCAGCTGCCCAGCAGGTCCTCGCACAGCTGGAACGGGCCTGCGGGCGGAGGGAGCGGGGGCGTCAGCAGGGCCCGGCGGGACCGGGAGCTCCGCCCCCAGCACCTGGACGCCGCTCCCGGGACACGGCCGGCCTCCCCCCATCTCCACCCCCAGCACCTGGAGGCCGCTGCCGGGACACGGCCTCCCCCCCCCCACCTCCACCCCCAGCACCTGGACGCCGCTCCCGGGACACGGCCTCCCCCCCACCTCCACCCCCAGCACCTGGACGCCGCTCCCGGGACACGGCCTCCCCCCCCATCTCCACCCCCAGCACCTGGAGGCTGCCCCCCCCACTCGGACCTCCACGCACCTGGACGCCGCTCCCGGGACACGGCCCCCCAGCCCAGGACCTCCACCCCCCCCCCGACCCCCCAGCCCCCTGGCCCCCTGGACGTGCGCCTCCCCCAACCCCCTCCCCGCCCTCCACCCCCCCCCAGCACCTGGAGGCTGCTCCCCGGGACACACGCCCCCCCAACCCCAGACCTTCCACCCTCCCACGCCCCGGCCCTCCACCCCCCCCCGCCCCCCAGCCCCTCCCATGCCCCGGTCCCCCAAGCACCTGCGGTGGCTCCCCCTGAGACACACGCCCTCCACCTACCCCAACCCCGAACCCCCACCCCCAGACTCCACAGCCCCTGCAGCGGCTCCCTCGGACACACGCCCACGCCCCCTCATTCCCCCACCCCGCCCCTCCAGCCCCCCCAAGCACCTGCGGCTGCCCCCACACACCCTCCCCACCTTCGCCCCGCCCTTCAAACACCTGTGGCGGCTCCCCCCCCACAGGCCACCCCCCTACCACCACCCCGCCTTCCAGGCACCTCGCTGTTGCTTCCCCGGGAAGCCCCTCCCCACCTCCGCCCCTCCAGGCACCTTGAGGCTGCTCCCCTGCCCCCCAACAACCCCTCCTCTCCCCCCTCCACTCCCCCTCCCTTCCTCTCCTCCTCCCTCCTCCCCTCCCCCTCCTCCTGCCAACACAGGCTGCCTGCTGGAGCAGCTATACGCAGAGAACCGCGGGGGGTGGGGGTGGGGGGGTGGGATTTAAGTCCCTTGATCCCAGTCCCCCAGGGACGGAGGACTGGGGCCAGCTGCAGGGCCAGCTCTCCGGGGCTTCCCTCTACATGTTTTTCTAGAATGCCTCAGGAATGTTTTGGAAGCAGAGAAAGAGCATCTCGAGTAGATGCTCGAGTAGTAGGAGTAGAAGAGGCAGGGTGGGTAGTGTAGACGTGCATTTCAGGAAAACCTGGTCTCAGGTTGATAAGGACATTTGATGTCTGAGAGCAAGACAGGCTAGTTGTTGAAACTAAGATCTCAGCCCTTCTTGGCTGTTCTTGTTTTCCTTTCGCCTGGCCCACCCTGTTCCTGGGACTGGGACAGCGCTGTGAGGTCCATATACAGGATTTTGCTGGTCTGTATGGACTGTTACTTGCTTTAATCAAATGGCTATTTAGGGAAGATGACACTTTAAAAAAATAAGTGATAGGGACGCCCGGGTGGCTCAGCGGTGGAGCACCTGCCCTCGGCTTAGGGTGTCATCCCGGAACACAGGGATCAAGTCCCACATAGAGGGCCCCGCGGGGAGCCTGCTTCTCCCTCTGCCTGTGTCGCTGCCTCTCTCTGTGTGTCTCTCGTGAATAAATACAAATTTAAAAAACTGATGACGTGAAGCAAGACAGCTGTGTGCCAGCTCAGGCTGGATGGCCAATATCTAGGCAGATGCTCAGGTGAGGCGCCTGGGTGTCTCTGTGGGTTAGGGTCAGACTCTAACTGAGGCTCAGGGCCCGCGTCGCTGTCCCTGGTTTGGTCCGGGGTCAGCGGGGAGGTGGCTCGAGAGACTTTGCCTCCCCATCTGTTGCTCAAGGACACCCCCACCCCATGCTCCCTCCCTCCCTCTGCCTCAAATAAGTAGGTAAATAAATAAAATCTTTTAAAAACTGGCATATGCTTTTAACTACCCGACTGATTCCTCCGTTTTCACTGATCTGAGTCAAAGGTCTTCCGCAGCAACCCTATGACCGGACACCGACCCCAGGGCATGGGCGTCTCTATCCTAAAGGTTCCCACGGGAGGGATAGAAGAGCCTCGGAAGCAATTCTGCTGGGACAGGTGGCGGGTATGTCACCCCAACCTCAGGGGCAGGGCGGGGACGCTGCTCGGCTCACCTGGGGCAGGTGAGCACTGCGCCGAGTGGAGGGCTTTCAGGTCTTCCTCAAAGTCCAGCAAGAAATCTTCAAGATCCCGCTCATCTGCAGGAACGAGAAGCCCTGTAATGGGGGTTCTGGGTCTCTTGGCTGGAGACCACATCCCAGGGGAGAGAGGCCTGCATTATCCTCGAGACACGGGATGGCACCAAGGGAACTGAAGGCCAAGGGTCCCACATTCCCCTGGGCTCTGGCTTTCTTGCAATCTATTACGAGGTTCCCTGGGGATGTTCTCAAGCTACTGGATGACACAGGATTCCGGGGAAACGGGGGTGAGGGAGGGAGCCCCAGCCGCCCCCCCCCCCCCGCCGTAGCGCCTCAGCTCTCATTCTGTTCTTGTTCCCTGCAGCTCACGAGGGCCCCGAACCGCACTGACCTCACACTGGGTGCCAACCCCCCAACACCGGGGGAGCCTCGTGGCAAATGTTCTGGGCTGTACTCTCGGGGCCCAAGAAGGAGAACCAGGTGCAGTGAGTTCAGCCTTTCTGGGAGATTGTGCTTAACAGAGGACCAAGCAGGACACAAGTGGTGCTCGGTTTAGCGCCTATTTCTGCAATGGGAGCTTTGTGATCCAACACACGGCATCACTGCCCTTAAAAATAAACTCCTTGAAGAACGTTGTCTTTCTTGTTATCGTGTATCCTGGCACACGCGAGGCATGCTTACTTTTTTTTTTTTTTTTCCCCTGAGTGACTATAGTAAAAATCAGCATGGATGGGGCAGGGAGCAAAAACTCAGGGAAAAACCCAAGTGAGATGCCTGCTGTGGCCTCAAACAAAAAAGCCACGGGCTACAATATCAGCTCCTTAAACTGATGTGTGTACATGAAGAAATGGTGGGGCGCCTGGCTGGCTCGGTCGGATGAGCGTCTGCTTTCGACTCCGTTCATGATCCCGGGGTCCTGGGATTGAGCCCCGCATCGGGCTCCCTGCTCAGTGGGGAGCCTGCTTCTCCCCCTCCCTCTGCCTGCTGCTCCCCCTGCCTGTGCTCTCTGTCTCTGTCTCTCTCTCTCTCTGTCAAATAAATAAATAAAATCTTTAAAAGAAAAATAAATGAAGTAACACTCAGACACAATCACACTTGCTTGGGAATCAAGAGATCATTAGGGCCCAATGGAGGAGAAGCCCGTCTGTGCAACTCTGTGCAAACTTGCAAGGCTGGCAGGGAGAGGCGAGTGGGAGCCGCGTGGCGTCTCCCCGTTCCCACACGTGTGGTTTCAGGGGCATTGCTGTCTGTTTAAGTAAGCTCTTACTTCAAGGGGAGCCAAGTGCCTTACAGACATTATCTCATTTCACCTTCCTGACAGATACCTTTGCGGGGGGTAGGAGGGGAGAACGTTTCAGAATTAGTTGGCTAAGAAGTGGGGTGTTTAGGCCCTTCTGCTCCCATGCGGAGGCGTCTAAGTGCCTGTACGGTCCACTTCTCTCAGGCCGTAAGAATAAAAATGGATTTTATCTTCTGGAGAAGGACGCTCAGAAACACGGCTAAAAAAATAAAGCCAATGAGGAGGAGGCCCTTTTAAAGGTTTGTGAAAAAAATAAAATAAAAGTTTGTGAAAATACTGGTGATAATTAAGAATTATCCCTGAGGATAGTACATGCTAAGGGGGAATCGAATTATTAATAAAAGTATGAAGGAGTCACCTACAGAAAAGATGAACTTTTAGAGTGAAACTTAAGGGGTATTTCTCTTTCTCTGGGGGTCTCTAAATACTGGGATTGAGTCCCAACTTGCTGGGGCTGCTTACATAGGGACTTGTCCCGAGTTCAGATGACCCGTTTGATGATTTTTCAAGACCCTTCTGGATAGGATTTCATCACTGTGACGTAGCAGGTCTTACCTTGAACTTGAAACATCCCGGCATCCTTCTGATGAAGGTCATCCGTACTGCTGTTGTCATCCTTAGTCCACTGATTGGAGATTTTATAGACATTCTCACACACCCCAAATACACAACACTGGTAAGCATAAGGCATTTCTATGACCCTTCAAATGAACGAAACCAAGCAAAAAACACAGGCTTAAAGACACAGGTTGTCAAATACCGTCTTCATCTTCTTTCACTCATTAATTCTGCTTTTGGGTCTTAGCCTTAATTAATAATCTAAAATAATGACTGTGTACAAAGATGTTCATTACTGCGCTATTTATAATAACAACGGAGTCATTAAAAGTTATTGCCATGAAATGTTGATAGTTGCTGAGCTTGGGCGATGCACAGATTCTATTATTGTCTCTACTTCGGTGCTTGGGAATTTCCATAATAAGGAAGTCGAAAAAGAACTGCTAGGAAAATTGTAGCACCATTAAAAAGTGCTTTTAGGGTGACATAAGGTAAAGCAGTGAGAACATGATGTAAGTCCGTATACGTACTGCGGTTCTAACCGTTAAAAATACATCGCAAACAACGAAGGAAATACAATAAAAAGTTGTTTGGGGGCATTTTCAGATTTTTTTACTCTCTTCTCCCTTCCTAAATCTCTTTTGGGGTTATGGTTCTAAAAGCATGTAAAATGTAGTGTGGCTTAAAAAAATATGTATGTATATGTACCCCCCCACACACCTACTACATACATATATGTATATATATGGTCTTTCAAGGGATTTTTTTTAAACAGTAATACGCACAACAGGTTTTAAAGAGCATTACTTCCTCAAAGAAATAGCCATTTCGGACATTTTATTAGAACGTACAACAAGCTAGGTAAATCTTAAAAAGTAAGCAGGACTGCGATCATGTTATAATGTTATTTAATTACGTGTCCTAGTTTCTACCCCATGGATCGGTGGTTTTCCAACTCTCCCGGTGAAGGCTAGGATGCGGGGGGGTGGAGGGGGGGCATCTTCAAGGAAGAAAGGAACTGTGGTCAGGATGACGCTCTCCCCCTGCAGGGCTCGTCCTAACCGTGCCGCAGGGGTGGGGGACTTGAGGGCATGAAATGCAATTCAAAGGAGTCCCATGACCTCATAAATTTCGAAAACCACTCTAACACGTCTATTATTTCGCATGACCACAAATGTATCTTATTAGTTTTAATGACAAACTCACTTGAGTTCTGGAAAGTTTTCAGATGATATCAAGCTCTGTAAGGCATGATTTCCTGTTAATTTTAAGTGAGTTAAACCATGTAACCCCGTTACAGGAAAGGACGACAGGCGGTTGGACGACAGGTCCCTGCAAAACATCAACAACAATTGGCTTTTGGTCTGTGTTAGCAGAAAGCGTCGATGTTAAAAAAAAAAGAAAAGAAAAGAAAAAAAGAAAAAAGCAACCTAAAGATTATTAAACTGCTCCATAAGGACACCTAAGCAGGGTCCATACCCTGGCGGTAGAAATAACCATTTTGGGCTTAGCTCCTGATAACTTTTCGGTTTACGATCAGAGTTGCAGGGCCGGGGGGATGTCTCTGGGGCACCTGCACTGTCATTTCTGCGTTCAGCTGCATTTTGCCTGGTGGGGACATCAGACATCAGAAGGAGCTACAGGTCATCTGAGAAGTGCGGTGGAGCGGATTCAGCTAGGGGTGGGGGAGGCGCTGCGGGTTTAGTCCCTTGGGTCCCTGCGCCCCTGGCTGACCAGCTCCTTCCCTCTCGGTCCAGTCGACAAAGGACAGGCTGGAGGGAGTCCCGCGCAGAGGAGAATCGGGACAGGAAACCTCTTCGTCGGGATGGCAAATAGGAAATGAAAACCCTTTGGGGGGCACCTGGGGGCTCAGTGGTTGAGCATCTGCCTTGGGCCCAGGATGTGACCCTGGGGTCCTGGGATCGAGTCCTGCATCGGGCTCCCAATGGGGACCCTGCTTATCCCTCTGCCTGTGTCTCTGCCTCTTTCTCTCTGTCTCATGAATAAATAAATAAAATATAAAAAGAAAAGAAAAGAAAACCCTTTGGAACTGAAATGACATCTATTCCGCCCCACCTGACTGCTCAGAGAAAATGGAAAATTTCACCTCAATAACCAGAACCAGCTGCCACGCAGATCGTCAATTAGCGGGTCAGGGCCCATGTGGCCTTGGTGGGGGGGGGGCCTTGGAGGAGGGAGGGTCTCCTGGGGGAGGGTCAGCAGGGGTGGGGGCTCCCCCTGGTCCCATCCAGCTCCAGGGTGCAGAGCACTAAGGGCCGGGCAGTGTGTGCATCGTGGCCTCTTCAGCAAAACCAATGTTTCCGATGAATTTAGGTGGCCCCCAATTACGTAAAATATGCCATCAACGAGCCATGAAACACTCACAGCTTTCTTAGAGATGGCAACGTGGAAAATGCATTGGGATGAATGATGGCAATTTTGTTCCAGGCTAAATTCCTATTAAAAAAAAAAAAGAAGAAAGGCAAGTGAGAGGATTATATATATATAGTGTGAAGTTTTACCACATATATTCATTCTTCTGCCAAAACTTAGCTTTCATTCAGGACAAAACACTTAGCCCATCACATCAGCCTCGAGATACAGATGTCTATAGTACAAAGTGACTAAGGCTGGAGCTTTGCATCAATCTTGTTTTAAATTAATCAAGGGAATATTATTCAAGAGGATATTTTAGATTTTACTCTGCTAAAAAGTTGACTTAAACATGCTCGTTAGATTTTATGAGGGCAATTCTGAGATGAGTGGGGACAGAGGAGGAGTTAGGGACCTCAGCTTTGGAGGGTCTTCCTCTGACTACCAAGTAAACTTGGAGAACATCCTGGAAACGTAATGAAACTGAGCCACACGCTGTGCATATTGTCAGGTACGTCGGGGCCGCAGGAGATACACTGAGAAGTATTAAAAAAAAAATCCCAGTAACAGAGATGCACATTTAAATTCTTAACTGCAAAATAAATCAAAAAGGGGCTAATACGTTGGGAAGTCAAATTCTTTGATAACCAGGAAAAACCTACAATTCACACCCCCTACACACACGCACTGAAATGGAGATTATTCAGCAGGAATAAGAACTTACACATTTCAAAGAAAGGAAAAATGAACTTAAATTTTGTATTTTTAAAATGCAGAACTGGGTATGCCCAGGGGGCTCAGTGGTGGAGCATCTGCCTTGGGCCCAGGGCGTGACCCCGGGGTCCTGGGATCGAGTCCTGCGTTGGACTCCTCCCAGGGAGCCTGCTTCTCCCTCTGCCTGCGTCTCTGCCTCTCTGTCTCTGTGTCTCTCATGCATAAATAAGTAAAATCTTTAAAAACTAAAGTGAAATGCTTAACTAATGGGGATAACCAAGGTGTAGGCCTGTGAGGAACCTGAAAGCGGCCACCATCCACTTCCCGGTGGCTCGTATGAGGCCGGCCCTCCTGCGTTTCCCTAGGGAGATGCTCTTCGCAGAACATTCATAGTCGCATGTGAAAGGCTCCCTAACCTGGATGAAACGTCTTATTTTGGTCCATCATGGGTCTGGGAACCGACAATGATTTTGGCCACAAAGGGGGGGTGGAGGCAGCGGGAAGCTCCAGCGGGGGCTGGGCAGTGGGAGGAGGAGAGCGCCCTCCAGCAGCTCACAAAAGCTCGAGGGCGAGGGGAGCAAGTCATCCCCGCCCCACTCTCCAGCGTAGCCCCCTCCTCGGCCCTGGCCATTACCTTGACCCTGGCCGCGACCTTGACCCCTGCCCCCTGGCTGCCGGGTGGAAGCTGGCCCCGCCAGGCCCCTCACCGACACACCCTGGGCGGCCAGGTGCGCGTTCTGGCTGCAGGTACCGAGGTCACGACTGCACACTGACCGCCGGGAGGTTAGGAGCCCAGGGTGTTGTTTCTGCGCGGCTCCAACCCTCAGCTCGGGGCTGAGGCCCAGGCTGTTAGTGTCTCTTTCAAAGCTGTGGAATGAGGTCAGGGGCTGGCCTCTGAGCCCAGATGACACAGGGTCTCGGCTGTGGCTCAGAACCTGCTGGAAGCTCTTCAGTAGACGGTGAGAGAGCCCGGGCGCTCGGGGTTTGGGTGCTGGCCACCCAGGGCCGCGCTATGCGGGCCACACAGGACAAGCCTCAGGGCTGGGGACCCCGGGGACGGCCACTGTGGGGCAGAGGCCTGGCGACGCCTGGGTGCATCGGGGGCTGCAGGACCAGGCTGGGGTCGCAGTTTGAAGGCGGGGCGGGAAGGGTCACCTGCACCTAGAAGGAGACCCCAAGGCTGGGGGCGCGGTGACCACGCTGGTGCCCAAGCCACAGTGCACGCGGAGGATGGGATGAAGAGCGGGGCGGCGTGGGGCACAGGCCGCTCAGGAGGGCGGGGACCCAGGGCAGAAGCCTGGCCCACCTGGGGACAGGTGGGTGACCCGTGAGCTCTAAGGAGCTGCGGGAATTCAGGGGGACTCAGACTCTGGCCTTCAGGGCCTTCTGCTGTCGGTAGGGGGCCGCCTTTCATTTCGTGTGACTGTGAGAAAATCTACATATGCATTTCCGGTGGGGACAGGAGTTCTGCGACAGCAGCGACTTGCCGGGGCCGCAGGGACCATTACCAACTCTATCCGCCATTTAAAATGGGACTGACTTTGGGAAGCAGCCAAAACTCCAAATGGGTGACCATGGCAGGTAATGGAAATAGGTTAGGGATTTTTGTTTTACGTCTGTTAAAAAAAAGTGCAAGCACTTCACAAGCTCACACTCGTGACAAGTAGGGAAAGGGCAACACGTTTAAATTCAGAACAAGATAGTTTTCGTGGTAAGTTTTTAGGAGAAGATAATTCTTAAGGATAAATTTAAAATGTTTTGAGGATAAATATTATTTTACAAAGGTGTAGGGACGCCTGGGAGGCTCAGCGGTGGAGCGTCTGCCTCCAGACCAGGGAGTGACCCTGGGGTCCCGAGATCGAGTCCCACGTTGGGCTCCCTGCATGGAGCCTGCTTCTCCCTCTGCCTGTATCTCATGCCTCTCTCTCTCTCTATTCTCTCATGAATAAATAAATAAAATCTAAAAAAAAAAAGACTATTTTTCAAGGGTATAGTCTCTTAAGTATTAAGAAGAACTTCGGGTGGGGGGAGGTTGGCGCCTGGGCGGCTCAGTGGGTTGAGCATCGGACTCTTGATTTCAGCTCAGGTCATGATCTAAGGGTGGTGAGATGGAGCCCTGCCTGGGGCTCTGTTCCCGGGGGGAGTCTGCTTGAGATCCTCTCCCCTCTCTCTCTGCCATCCCTCCCCCTGACTCTCCCTCACTCTCTAAAATAAATAAATAAATCCTTTTTTTTTAAAAAAATTTTTTCATTACTTGAGAGAGAGAGAGAGAGAGAGCACGAGCGGGGGGGTGGGGGCAGAGGGAGAAGCAGATGCCCCGCTGAGCAGGGAGCCCAATGTGGGGCTCACCCCAGGACCCCGGGATCATGACCTGAGCTGAGGGCAGATGCTTCACTGACTGAGGGACCCAGGTGCCCCAATAAATAACCCTTAAAAAACACAAAGAAATACTTTAGAGAGAAAAGCATTTTTAAGAAAATATACCGGAATTTAAAGATTAGATATTGTCATTATCCATCAGAATAATCACATTGAAATTCAGTTTTGACATGAAAAAGATTTAACTGTCCCAGAAAACAATCTGTTACCAAGATGTTTTTTTTTTTTGTTGTTGTTTTTTGTTTTTTTTAAATGTATGGTTAATAGATGGTGTTTTCCCTCATGGAGTGGAATTAGATACTCTATTTACAATTCTTAGTCATCTGGTCAACAGGAGCGTTTGCCAGGGCAGTGGTACTCAACCCTTGGGGTACTTGCTCACTTGCAGATGGTTAGGAACCACCTGAGATTCTGACTGAGGAGGCGGGTGGGGACGCCTTCCTTCCCGCAACCCCCCAATGATTCGTAAGCCCTTTGCAACACCTACTGGGAACCGTTCACCCAGGAGACACGAGCAAGTGGGAAGAACTGGGTGGTCATCCCATCCCTGTGTGGGAAACAACCCCTAGCAATTCCGGGCTGCTGGCAGACACATGTTTCGTAGGCAATTCAATGACTTGGCCTCCTTCTTCTTTAGCCAAATTCCAAGCCTGCAAATTTACTGCTTTCGCATATATTCCTGGACATGATCACGAGCAAGATATTTGCCTTTATGTAGCATAACTCGGCACAAAGGCCCAAGGACGCCAGCGTAGGGGGAGGATGCTGGGGAAGGGGCTGGGGAAGGTGCCGGGAGGCGGTACTCACAGCGCCCGGAGGCTAAGCAACTGCTGGAAAGTGTCAGCTTTAATTTCATAGATTTCATTATGTCGCAGGTCTCTGAAATGACAGAGGGCCAAGATTGATCCAGAGTCAGTGGCTTCAAAGATTAGTCCTCGGAGAAGGGCTACAGAGGGATTAGCTGCCCTCACGCAAAGGAGCAGGTGACTATCAAGCGACCGATTTAACAACCTTGCTTAGCCTAAAGAATGGCATCGGCATCCCAACGTTTACATGTCAGCACTGCCTCTTTCGAGGCAGGAGTTCCTCGGGTGGACGTGGGCCTCCGCCAGAAACGCGAGCATCGCTCAGCCACGTGGTGCCTGGCTCTGCCTCTGGGCCTCAAGAGCACCCAACCCTTACCTTTCAGGGACAGTTCTGCCCTTCTTTCTCTCTCTTAGGTGCCCGAAGGCATTCAGAGAAAAATGAAATGGGAAAAGATAGATGGTTAATAGTGTTCTGATCAAAACTGAAGTATGCCTTGAAAGCAGCAGAGCCGACGTTTTATGAAGGCAATTTTAAGGAAGGAGTTTCAAAATGTTTCATGTGGAAGTGGCACCTCCTCTAGAGGTGGCTGCTGTGAAACGAACACCCCAACATACCCCAATCCCTCCCATTTTTACAAATAATACTGCTCATTGGATATGTAAGCTTAAAAAAATTCAAGGCTCGGGCAGCCCGGGTGGCTCAGCAGTTTAGCGTGCCCTTCGGCCCAGGGCGTGATCCTGGGACCCGGGATCGAGTCCTACGTCGGGCTCCCAGCATGGAGCCTGCTTCTCCCTCCACCTGTGTCTCTGCCTCTCTCTCTCTCTCTCTCTCTCTCTCTCTCTCTCTCTCTCTGTGTGTCTCTCATGAATAAATAAATAGCATCTTAAAAAAAACTCAAGGCTCGAATGACACCAAAGTTCCATCATAAGCCAAGTTTGGGGAAGGGGAAGGGCGGAAGCATAATAAATGCTTTACTTACAGTAAAATGCCTGGTAAAATAATATTATCTATGTTTCCCGAACTTAATAGACATCCTACCCAGTCACACCTTGTGCGCGTGAGAAGGGAAAGCGCCAAATGTCTCCCCGGGGACTCGCGGGGCAAGCAAACCAGTGACCCTTGGAAATGTGAGTCTTGGCTCTTGTTTTTTGTCAGGCGACTTAGAGACTCGTATAGACGTACATTTTCTGAAGCTTCCGGCAGACTGAAAAACTGGGTAAATCTTCCAGCAGGTTGTAAGACAGATCTCTGGAAAACAGAAGGTACGAAAGGGGAAGTCTGTTACATATTAATCCTAAGGAAACATGCTCTGCTCTCCTTTCCCGTCCACAGGGACGCATCTCCCAAAGGCCAGCCTGACCGTCTCGCCGGCCCTGATGTGGAGCCGGTAGGCCCGGGCATTATTGGATTAAGCATAGAGCCAAACATTCACTGAAATGTAGCTGTTGTGCTTCTTTAATTGATTTAAATAAGTTGCTTAACGGATTTATTTATATTTTGTTAGTGATGATCTACAATGTTCTAGCTATTATCTTACCAAAATGACTACAAATTAAATTAAATTAAATGATTTGTGCCTCCCTGAGCGCTGCTATAGCTCTACAGCTAAGAGAATCACTGTTGGTTCTTTTCTAATCAACTTAAAAAAAAAAAGCCAAAAACCAAAAAACAAACTCACAAAAGAACAACCCAACAACAATTCAAAATGTAGCACTAACTTTGAAATCAATCACCGCAAAGGGGGAAAACAACCTAAGAAAGTCTTCAGCCAAAACTCAACAAATTACAGAATAACAAAAACATATGGACGTATTTAGGGTATAATATAACTAATCTAAAACAAGCTGTGGTAATTTGCAGAAAGCTTAAAAAAAAGAAAGCTGGTAGATAAAGTAACATAGATACTTTTAAAAGAAATTCCTGTCTCATGTTTAAAAAGTTATCAGCTAATCAACTAACACACTTTCATGCCTGATTCTAATTCTTAAAACCAGATCAGCACTACGCAACTGAAAAATCCACACTGTGCTCGAGGAGGGTTTTTCATGATCTTGTTCTCCTAGTCGATCACTCCCTTCTACAGTTACTGCATGAATGGAATTCACACAGAAATACAGTTTACCTACTACACATAAAAATGCAGATGAAGCTGTTTGCAAACACAAATTCATAGTTTATCCAAGAGGCTTGAGACCAAACTAAACCAAACCAAACAAAAAACAGGAAAAAAAGAACAAACCCCAAAACCAGGCCCCATGCCTATGCACAGATGCACCTGGTCAACAAAATGCTGTATATTTTTTAAAAAGCAGTGGTTGTGAGAAAATGCACATATGTCTCATGAAAGCCAGTCATGATTTGGTTCACTCATCTGCAGATGGCCCGGGGGTCGTAAACCCGCCCGCGCGGCTCTTCCTCCACGATGCACAAAACCTTCTACATAGACACTGTGTCCCCTTCTACCCACCTTCCACCTAATGATTTTCCCGGCTAACACCGACTGAGCACTTGTCATCTATAGACACCATGTTCACGGTGTCACCTAATTCATTTCTTTCTTTCTTTCTTTCTTTCTTTCTTTCTTTCTTTCTTTCTTTCTTTCTTTCTTCTTTCTTTCTTTCTTTCTTTCTTTTTTTTTTAAGATTTTATTTATTTATCATGAGAGACAGAGAGAGAGAGAGGCAGAGACACAGGCCAAGGGAGAAGCAGGTACATGTGGGGAGCCGGATGTGGGACTCGATCCCAGGACTCCAGGATCAGGCCTTGGGCTGAAGGCTGTGCTAAACTGCTGAGCCACCTGGGCTGCCCCCTAAGTTATTTCATTTGCTCCCCGTGGTCCCCTCATGAGGGAGACGCCGATCACCACTGCACAATGTCCAATAATTTGCTAAGGTCACCAGCTGCTTAGTGGGGAGAGCCAGGCCCAGCCCAGGCCCTCCCATGGGGGCAAAGCGGCCTGGGGGTGAGGGTAACAGGTGCTCAGTGAGGACCGCAGCCTGAGGTGGGGGGCTCGTACACTGATGCTTCCAGAACATCACTTGGACTGTAGTGGAGGCTGCGACCCTGGCTTGTACTGTCAGCCTCCCCTGGTTCTTCATCTGGGCCAGTGCAGGTGGCCGCACAGTAGGGCCCCTTCAGTTCTCCCCTTGGAGGAGAAGCCCGCTCCGCCCGCCATGAACAAGTCCCAGTGACAGGCCCAAGCACATTGGGAGCGACAAGCTCCTGCGGGTGATGGGTTTGCTCTCTCAGGCCTTTCAGCTGGAGGAGGGGGGCTGGGAAGGACCAGGGGCCTGGGACTCTGGGGGGCCTCGGTGGTGGAGCACCTGCCTCTGTCTAGGGCGTGACCCTGGGGTCCTGGGTTCCAGTCCTGCATCGGGCTCCCTGCAGGGACCCTGCTCCTCCCTCTGCCTGGGTCTCTGCCTGTCTCTCTGTGTGTCATGAATTAATAAATAAAATCTTTATACAAAAAAGAAAGAAAAAAAGGGAAAGAAAGAAAGAAAGAAAGAAAGAAAGAAAGAAAGAAAGAAAGAAAGAAAGAAAGAAAGGAGGAAGAACGGCCTAAGGGAAGGGAGAGGGGTCAGAGGAGCTGGGGCCGCCTGAGCTCGTGTTCTGGGTGTGAGCCCTGGTGGGTGTAGCCCGCTCGACCCTCATGCCCTTCCCGGGTGGGTGTAGCCCCCTTGACCCTCATGCCTTGCCCCGAGGGAAGGGCCGCGTCTCTGTCGCACAGGTGGGGAAACGGAGCCCCGCGCGGACGAGTAACTGGCCCACGACACCCCGCGGGTACCTGCGGAGCTGGGCTGCGGCCCCAGCCTCCCGCCAGCCGGCCTCCCCTCTCGCGGGGCCTGCCCCGGCCGCAGCGGAGACACCTGCGGTGTAGACCGGCTCCTCGGGCCCCGCGGCGAGCTCGGACCCTGCTGCCCTCCTGCAGCACCGAATTCCCGGTCTCCTCGTCGGTATCACACCTCGCGGGCGGCGCGGGATGAAGATGGCGCTTGCCCCATCCCCCCACCCCCATCCCCCCATCCTCACCCCCCCCCCCCGCCGAGGCTGTGGCGGGTGCGAGACCACGGGGTTGGGCCGGAGGGCGGGGGGGCCCGTGGCCGAGGGTCCGCCCTCCCACCCCACGTTGAGCGGCCCGTGGCTGCGCCACTAGGGGCCTGCGCTGGAACCACAGGCTGCGAGTGCCCGGGTGCCCGGGGAGAAAGAGCTCGCGAGGCTCGGGGCCCGGGACAGGAGGCTCAGGGTCCTCGCGTGGGAACGGGGCGGGGGGGGGCCTGGAAGGTCAGGACAAGGCCTTCAAACCCCCAGGACCTACTGTTCAGAGAGGGGAGGGTGGGGGGCTCCGCGTGCCCGGAAGGCCCCTGGGAGCCGTTTCTGCCCCGGGGGCGTGAGGCGGAGGCACCGCACCCGCACCTGCACCCGCACCTGCACCCGCACCCATCCTGCACTCACCCTGCAGCCGCCCCACACCTTCACCTGCACCCGCCCCGCCCCGCACCCATCCTGCACCCGCACCCACACCTGCACGGCCCCGCCCCCGCCCCGCAGCGGAGGAACGCTGCTCGCCGCCAGCGCGGCCTGTGGGCCTGCCCTGCCGGTCCCGGTGTTCTACGTGGGCGCCACGGGCTCCGGCCCTTCTGGCTCCCGGTGCCCCGACAGCCCCGCGGGGGAGCGACACCGTCTAGGCTGGTTCGGGCGCGTTTGCTGGCAGGAGCTGGGGCCAGTGGAAACCCGCGGGGGACGGGTGGGCCTCGGGAACGAGGGGCCCCCGCGACCCCCTGCGACCCTCCCCCCTCGCAGAGAGAGCACTTTGTCCTACGCACAGCACTCGCAGGGCGGGCAGCTGGTCCCAGGCCGCTCCAGGGAGGGACGAGATCTGGGCGCCGGTTAACGTCCTGTGGAGACACAAGCAGGTGCCGCTCGTTCACCGAGGCCTCACACGCCCGGGTCCTCCCGCCTGGGTCCTCCCATCCCACGTCCTCCCGCCCGGACCCTCCCACCCAGATCCTCCCACTCTGATCCTCCCACTCCCATCTGGGTCCTCCTGCCCAAGTCCTCCCACACAAGTCCTCCCATCCTGGTCCTCCCATCCCACGTCCTCCTGCCCGGGTCCTCCCACTCGGGTCCTCCTGCCCGGGTCCTTCCACGCTGATCCTCCCACGCAGGTCCTCCCATCCCATGTCCTCCCGCCCGGGTCCTCCCACCCTGGTCCTCCCACCCAGGTCTTCCCACCCCCACCTGGGTCCTCCCCCCCCCCCCCCGGGGTCCTCCAGCCCGAATCCTCCTGCCTTGGTCCTCCCACCCAGGTCCTCCCACCCAGGTCTTCCCACCCCCACCTGGGTCCTCCCACCCAGGTCCTCCCGCTCGGGGTCCTCCAGCCCATGTCCTCCCACCCGGGTCCTCCCGCCCAGGCCCTCCCACCCTGGTCCTCCCACCCTGGCCCTCCCACCCTGGTCCTCCCACCCCCACCTGAGTCCTCCCACCCGGGTCCTCCCACCCGGGTCCTCCCACCCAGGTCCTCCCACTCAGGTCCTCTCACCCAGGTCCTCCCACCCAGATCCTCTCACCCAGGTCCCCCACCCCCACCCAGATCCTCCCATCCAGGCCCTCCCAGCCAGATCCTCCCACCCAGGTCCTCCCACCCTGGCCCTCCCACTGTGGTCCTCCCACCCCCACCTGGGTCCTCCCACCCAGGTCCTTCCACCCGGGCCCTCCCAGCCAGATCCTCCCACCCAGGCCCTCCCAAGCAGGCCTGTTGGGCTTCTGGGGAGCCGCCTGCACAGAGCCCAGAGCCGGGCCAGGTACCTACAGGCTCTCCAGGCTCGCCGTTCCGGTCAGGTCTGGAAACTCGGTTATTTGCGAGGCACCGTTCAGAGTCCTAGGAGGAGGGGGACAGGAGCACCATCGGAAGGAGGGTCCAGGAAGGGGTAACTTTAGTGCCATCTGCAAAGCGCTTTCACCAAGTGAGACGGTCACTTGGTGTGTACACCCCCCCCCCCCCCGCCGCCCGGGGCAGGTGGCCTGTAAGAGAAGCACTTACAGCGTTCTTAGCTCTGGTAAATGTTGAAAAGCGGACCTTCCGACAAACTGGATGGGGTTATCATAGAAATGTCTGGAAAAACACAAACACCGAAGTCTTAGTACAAAAGTTGAACGACAAATGGAAACCTGCTCAAAATTCCAACAAACACAGGGGATCCGTGTGCCCTTGCCGATGCCGCTCACGTGGCATTCCCAATTCCTCGGTACCAGCAAAGCTCGAGGGCATTCTAACTCTGAGGACACTTTGGGTGAGAAATGTGTAAGAATGAGAATTTCTGACAGCAGGGCGGAGAGAAGGGACAGGCGGCGGCTGGGGGTGTCCCCAAACCTTTCTCTGCCTCCAGTGTCTGTGGAAGAGCCACCAGGAGGCCGGAAGGTGACTCAAGGTGCTGGCAATCGCATCGTTACAGAAAGAAAGTTGAAGTTCTCTCTCCACGTGAAGGTTAGACTCTCAGGCCAAATCTTCCCCTAACAGACGTGAAGGACTCCTCGGATGATCTGAGAGGAAATCGGATATTCTGCTTTTTTGGGGGGTAATACTCGGTTTTTAAAAGATCACCTACTGCTTTAAAAGGTGAGGCATTCTTAGGACTTAAATATTTTGAGTTACAGATGTCTGCAGTGTAGAGGTATGTGGACCGTCTGGTCAGTGAAGCCCTGCAGATAGTTCGTAGCGGAGACATCCCAGCTCAGGGACGTTCAACACACATCGCTGGGCGTCAGCTGTGCTGGGTGTGAGGCGGGACTGTGCGAGTCTACAGGCGGAGTCATGAAGGGGGCGGGCGCCAAGTGCCTACCGCGTGCCTGACATTATCCCAGGTTCTGGGAGCTCGAAGAGGATGGATAAAGTGTCGCTGCCCCCAAAGAAGCTCGGAATCCGTGGGGATGGAACACAGCGTGACACGTCCCGGTTGATAAAGCACTTCCACATGCAAAGCTCAATCGACCCACTCAACGACTTTATGGGATCCATAGCACAGACACTTAAATACTATTTATCTCATTTCTGGAGGGGGAAACTGAGGCTCAGATACTTTGGCAAGGTCAGCATCTCCCAGAGCTTCACTTTTCTAATTTGTTAAATAGGATAATAAATCTGAGTTGCAGGGTTTGTGCACAAATTGCTCTACACATTAGTTTGCTAATGCTCCTGTAACATCCGGCATAGTCCCTGGGTTGGAGTTGTCACCCAACAAACCTAAGTCCCCTTCTGTGTCCCTGTCCCCTGCCCTCCTTCCTTGAGTGGGATAATCCATAAGAGAAAGAGCTAGAGCTAGAATGTCAGTTTTATAACTAAAAGTGGAGTTCTCCTCAATGGATGACACTGTCCCTTATCCATATCATATGCTGGGATGCATGTCATCGGGTTGGCCTGCGTATACATATGGACGTACACTGGGTGCATATGAATCCACACGCTTGTGTACCTAAGTTTCGCAAACACAACTAAGGACTACAGCATTCTCGGGAAGGAGATTTCCTGAGAGATCAAGAAAAAACCTCATATAATGTCATTTGAAACGGGCCCTGGAAGACAGAATTTCAATAAGCATAGTGAGAGGATGGAATCAGAGGGGCAAAGGACGTAAGAGTTGGGTTCTACAAGCACTGTCGACGTGGGCTGTGGCGTCGGGGGTTGAGGAGAGCTGTGGAGAGCTAGCTGGTCAGGAGACAGGACTCTAGACCATCCTGAATCTCCGTGTGTTTTGCAGCAAGACGGATGCTGTGTTTCAGGGCAACAGCTCTGTTCCCAGTGGAGATGGGGGGCGGTTTGGAGGGGGATGGACGAGGTGGCGGGGATGAGCCTCAGGTTGACAAGAATGTTGAGGTAAAGGCTAGCTGAGGCGGAGGACGGGACCACAGCCTGGGGACATGGGGACTAGGTGGCCAGTGGGACCACAGAGACTGGGAATTGGGGATCTGTGAGAGGATGCGGAAGCCAGGAGAGGGGAGTTTCAGGGAGAAAACAGTGAACACCATAAAATACTGGGTGGAAGCACTAATAAATTTTGGGGATTGTTAGTCCTTTCTCGAGTGGTATTAGCATATCAAAAGAGTGATTAAAAAAGCACCCAAACAAACCCAGTCTTGTGGCTGGGAGGAAAAAAGAAGCAAAAGCAATGCAATTTGCCAACTTTTAATATGTAAATACTCTCTAATGAGGCCTAATGTTTATTGGCAATAAACCTTAAAACCCTTAGTTGGCCAACATGCTGTCAGGCTATCTCAGAAACAATGAATGTTTTTTTTTTTTTTTTTTTTCAGTTGTCAGGGCTAATTGGGATTCCAGCTCATTTGTGACGGATACTACGCGGTTCCAGAAAGCCTCTTAATCAAGTTGGCATGGGATGAATATCTGCCAAGAAATGCCCCTAGAGTCCTGTCCAACAGCTGTCCGTACCCTCCTCCTGCCTATTGGGGGCCCCTCCTGCAAGACCAGGCCAGTCCTCCGCCCCGGACCCACCAGCTCTTCTAACTACGACCCATCCTCACACCTGTGTTCACCTTCCCTTACGTCTACACGTGGCCCATCTTCTGTCCATGCTGACGGTTGAACACATAGCTCATTAATTACAAGCCATGGCTCTAGGTCTATTTTATGCTTTTACGGCATATGAATTCTGATATACGCCTTTTTAGAAAATATGCACCTTTCTAGAATTACAGCCTAGCTTATGATTGTATAAATGTGACTCGGTGCTTGGGTTTGATAACAAATAGATGCAGAGACCTACCTAGCATGAAACAGTCTTCCCCACAACACCCGCAGTCAATGGAATCTATTGCCATAAAGGACTCCTATTTGTATATAATATTTATTAGGACACCTGGCTGGCGTCAGCATCCAACTCTTGGTTTCAATAATAGGTCTGATCTCAAGGTCTTAGGATGAAGCCTCACATCTGGCTCTGCACCCAGCGCGGAGTCTGCTTGAGTTCCTCTCTCCCTCTTCCTTTGCCCACCCTCCCCGCCCCCCGCCAGCTCCCTCTCTCTCCCACAGAAATAAATAAATCTGTAAAAAAATAATTTCCATTTCTAGTATACTTGGATTCACGTTCTGAATGACTAGCTGACCTTGACAATGATTCTCTAAAAATCAGTTTTATTCCTTAGAAAATAGAGATATGTAAAGGTAAGTCCTAAGATTACTGCGAAGGGAGACAAGGCTTCTGGGGGAATGAAGCACAATGCCATGTTCGCTTGTAGGTTCTAGGAAAAAAAAGAAACTTTTATGTTATTTCGGCATTCAGCTAAAACCCGGCAAAACATCTCTGCGTACGCTTCTCTGTAAAGAATCTTATTTTGATAAACACAAAACTCGAGACCATACAGGACACCCATTTTATTATATTTAAAAGTGCAATATGTATTACATTTCAGGATGGAAAAAAAGCAAAAAGAACCCCGGCCACTTACATTGTAATAAGAGAAGGATTGCCTACAAATGCTTTCTCTGGTATCGACTTGATATTGTTGCTGTGAAATCCTCTAGAAAGAGAGGGAAACATTTGTTTTAAGACAATGCCATGGAGGGTGACATCATGTAACAGTACCCCCTTCCGGTGGCAATGATCACCATCTTCGATAGCCAGAGGATAAGGCTCATTTCTTCTACGCGTTTCGAAGCACATGTGCTCTCTAGGAGGAAAAATCGCAAGCTGTCATCTTGGAAGAGGAATAAAGAACCTGAAAATAACAGTGGTGCCTTATGGAAGCTTACACCCTAATGTCATAAAAGGAAGACCCATCTGTTTCCATCCAGGAGGGCATCGCCGTATAACCACTTGGGAAAGGGGGAGCCATCGCTGCAGAGAGGTTTATGATCACTCCTCTGACCCCATATGAGGAGACCAGGAGACAAAGTTGGCCTAAGCTGCTGTCAAGTAGAGATTTAAGTAATCGCCTTAGGAGGACAAGGTTTCCTGAGCTGAGGGAAGGCGCTCAGTGCGTCGGTCTGAGCACACTGACCCTCCTGTGGGTCCCATGTGGGCCGCGGCTGGAATGAGGTGAGGGCCGTCGTTGGGCTGCCGGACCACAGGCCGGGAGGGTTTCCCAGTCAAGCCACACGTGTGGGTTCCTTAGGGAGACCCCCCCGCCCCCCCCGCCCCCCGCCCTGCAGGCTTTCTCTTCCAATGGGCTCTATTGTCTACTCCTTTAGTTGTGTGTCTTACCTCCCTTGGCCAAGAGAACAGCCTCCATGTCCTTTCTGAGCTCTGGAACATTCCTTACGTATGTTATTTATATTTTTAGGTAGGAAGAAGAGCTAACTGAATGGAGTCCTTCAAAGACAACGTATACAACCTAACAGCTGAAAGCTGGCTTAACTCTGGTAAAACTGTGGGTCTGTAAAAATTAAACACGATTCACCTAGTATCTAAAGGATAGGAAATGACGTAGGTGAAAGCACCGAGCGCGGTACTAGACACATACATTTCATTTCTCTAGTCCTAGACCTACATGACCTTAAAAAGCTTGTCTTTCAAAATACTCAGCAGGCAACTGAATTCCATGACAGTTTTCTATAAACATGTGAAGTGTATAAATGTTGGGGAATATAGCTGAGGAAGAGAGCATGATTCAGAGAACTATATATTTTTTTCTCATATACGTATATTTGAGAAATCCATTACATGTCTAAAAAAGATGATCTGATGTTTGTTGGCAGTAGAATAAAATATATTTTAAGCGTACTTAACCATCATTTATACAAACAAGGTTGAAAACCTTCTCGTCAGTCATGCTCTGTACAAAAATCAAACATATTTTAAAGTGAATTCACAAAGAATAGACTTTTCCCATTAAATCTGTCCTAAATACTCACAGTTCTTTAAGGTTGGAGAGTGTCCTGATGGCGGTGGGGAATTCATCAAGATTATTATAATTTAAGTCTCTGCAAATAAGTAAACAGTATTCTCAGTTTTTAATTTAAAAAAATTCATGCATACGACACATACGGTGACAGCTGACATGCTCTTCCAAGGGGCCACCGAGGAAAGCTCTCGTTCCTTCTCTTTGCGGAGAGAGCGTCTGGGCTGGCTGACCGAGCCCTTCACCAGCGTCTGGCTTAACATGGTCCTCACACGGCTCGCTCTGAGAAATTTCAGAGTCCAACCTCAAGGGCACCGAGGTGTTGACAAACGGGGAGCCTAGAGCCACGGGCAGGGCTGGCCCAGCAGGAGGGGGCCGGGGCCAGGCTGTGGGGCCTGCGGCCAGCTCTTCCCCTGAACCTGGCTCAGCACTCCTCCTGCCTCCCCTCCCAGCTCCTCCCCCATTCCCACCTCACACGCTGACTTTCCCCCTTGCTTTTCTGTGTCCCCTGAAAGGGCACCTCGGAGGGCTGCTCTGTTCCTGAGGCCTGCAGAATGCCCGGGATTCCCCAGCCCACGTCCTCAGAGGCTTCTGTGCTACGGGCCCTCCCAGGAAGGGCATGAGGCCTAGAATTTCTGCAGGGTCACAGGACATGATTCAGACCAGGAGTAGGTTTTCCTTGGCCTTTGAGGCCAAGCTCCATGTTACCCCGCCCCCCCCACCCCACCACGCAGACACAGCAGGGCCAGGCCGTTTCAACCCCTCCGTTTCCCTAGCTGTCCTGACACCAATGGCTTTTCAGTCCCATCACTCAGACTGACTCTGCCTCGTATCTACAGCTTCTGATGGAAAAGCCATTGCGTCCTGGGCTCAAGGGAATGGCAGGTGTCCCGGATGACGCAGAGGGACCTTTGGGCCAGCCGATCAGATATGCTCAGATCTTCCTCTATGGGGAAGGACCGCTTTTGAATTTTAAGGGAGATCATCTGACCGAGGCAAGCATCGAGAGCCCTACTTGTCGGGCACGAGCCATCCTTAAGCGGTAGTGCCGCCAGGAAACCTGTGTCTGTTGTGGACATAAATTTCCTTCCTGTTTGTGAATCTCTCCAGATGCTCTGTTTTGATTAAACGAGGACTGGGTCCTTATAAATGACTTGGGTCTCTTGTGAGGGAAAGGAAGAGGTTGGGAGGAACCAATGTACTGATGCTCTGTAGCCCTGGGCAAGGTGCTAGGGCGGGGGGGGGGGGGAATGGCGGAGGGCAACGAGACTCAGATGAATTTGCCCTGAAATGTTTTACTCCTCGGTATTTACATGAAACCAGGTCCTCATCTCAACCAAGGGGCGGGGGAGGGAGACTATTTACGGAAATACCCTTGAAAGCCAGCATTGGTTTTTGTTCCTCCTGCGTTGGAAGGGACGGGAGGGTGCTTTCCACTACTAAGATCCTGCGCCCAGCCCTGCGGCCCCAAGAGCCCCAAGTGTTTTCCAAGAGCTCGCAGGGACGGCTGCCCACGCCCCTACGTCGACCTCAACGGTCTGCCCGGTCTGCCCGGGGAGCTCCATCTGCGGCATCTCCCCGCGAGGGTGGTGCCTCCCTCCCAAGAGGGAACACAGAGTGGCTTCAGCAACCTTGGGCGGGAGGCCATGAGCACCCAGGGGCCTCGAGAAGGCCACCAGCCGAGGGTGGCCCGTTGGGAGATCGTCACACCCGGACCCGATGAGCAGCTACTCCGACCATGTGCAAAAGCTGAGCTCCGGGTACAAGTGGCCGACAGGCTCCGCGGCCCCACGGGAGGTGGGCTTTGGTGTCTCGCCTCACAGCCCGCCCAGAGCCAACCATGTGGGTTCGGTGGTGCTGTGTGGCTTATTGCACTTGAGTGTTAACAGCATGGGGGCAGGGGGGCACAACTGGAAGCACGTGCCCTGCTCCAGACCCTCCGAGCGCTCGCTGCCTGTCTCCTCACTAGGGCGGTGGGGGGCGGCTGGCCCAGGGGGCCCCGGGGCTCAGCGCTGGACTGTCTCTATGAGGTGCCAGCTCAGGTCTAGGCTTGTGCCCCGACCTTTGGAAGCAGTGTGCACAGGCAAACACGGATGTCCAGGCCAGGCTAGAGCAGAAGCGAACCCCAGCCATGCAGTCGCCTAGATGTGTCACGCTGGCAAAGCGACTTCACCGACTAGAGCTTAGCGTGGAAGGCTGATAGCTGCTCTCACGGGGTGCGCGTGGGGTCAGCTGAACCCGCGCACCTGGCTGTGCGATCCCCGGAGGTGGGTGCACCCGACAAATGGTAGCCGTTACTCCTTTCTCGTGTGCACTTCTGCTGTTAGGGGGACCCCTGCTCATCTCAGATCGGAGAGCCCTGATCGGAGAGCACTCGCCTGGGCGGAATCCTCGTGGGGGGTGCAGGGAGGAGCAGACTCGCGAGGAGTTGATCCCTGACACCCACAGCCCACGTTCCTCAGCAACCCGTCGCTGCTCGGCTGAGAACATCTCATTTAGCTTATAACGGCCCTAACTAATTTACCACCCTCGTCCCATTAGAATGAAATCTCAGTTTTGCTACTTAGCTGCGTGTGCACGCGCGTGTGAGGTGAAGCCACCGTAAATATCTGTTCAGAGCAATTAACCAAATCAGACAGCAGGTTTGGCTTTAAGGCCATCTTGATTCTTTCAGAATACTCATGAAAACACTGAAAAAAGGAAACAAATAAAAGGTCAACTCACAAAGTCTCTAGGCTGTGGAGCCCATCAAAGCATCTCTTTCCCAGGGAGTGAATTCTATTGTTATGGAGATGCCTGCGGGAGAACGATACAGACACAGTCAGGAAGGCGCAGTGCGCGTGGAAACTTCGCGCATTCTGATTGCTTTCATAAAAAGCAAGAAACTTAGAGAGAATGCATTCATTACATAGAAGAAATGCTTTAACTTTAAAAAAATTTTTTTCCCTGAAAGGCCAAATGACCCATCCACTCTCATCGTATTTGAGTCTGTACCATAGAATTAATTAATTAATTAACTAATTAATTTTATTTTTATTTTTTATTTTTTATTTTTGTACCATAGAATTTAATAGGCGATGACAATCTTACCTTTTGGGTCTGAGACATCAAGGCGCATCGAGTAGCATGGGCAACACGACTGATACAGGGAAATGCAGGTTGTTAACATAGCTTTGGGACGTCGGCGTTAAGCAGAGATTCTGGTCATTATTGACAAATGAAGGTTGGAGGGAAAGTCCTAGCCTACCGAGCCTATTTTCTCTTACAGTTGCTGGCCTAGAAGGGACCTCATTCCGGGGCGGGACCACGGGTTAACAGGCAACAACAATTTTAGCCACAGAGGATGGTGATCAGGTTTTTTTTTTTTTTTTTTGGCTGCCCAAGGAGATCAGTTATCTCGACACAGTATTAATGCGTATGATTATCATCTCTGGTTCCCTGGTGAGTCAGTTAAGTCAGGGCCAATGAGAACAGCTGTGCACATGACTGAAAACTGGACTAAGACCCAAGGGATTTTTAGAAAATGGGCCTAAGGAGCAGAGGGTGACAAAGAATCGCTGGATCTCTGCAAATCCACTCCCTCAGGCGGGGGAGAAAATTAAAGCACGGCCCCAGCTTCTGGTGGGTCAGGAGCATCATGTTCACATGGGTGAGTCAGAGCAGAAATTGGCCAATATCACCCCAGGTTTCTTGTCCTTTAGATTAAGGTTCTGTTTCTGTGTTTTCCCAAAGATCTTATTTATTTGTTTGTTTTACTGAGGGGGGCGGGGGGGGGCGGAGGAGCAGAGCGGGAGGAGAGGGAGGGGAAAGCACCCCCAGCAGACTCTGTGCTGATGCACAGCTAGGCCTGGGGCTCGGTCGCATGACCCTGAGATCACGACCTGAGCCAAAACCAAGAGCTGGACACCCGACCGACCCAGCCAACCCGGCGCCCCAACTGAGGTTTTTGTTCTAATAAATCGATGTGGGTTTCATGTGAGATCTTTGTGACATTTATTGAAGATCTTCCACATGCAACACATGGGGGAGGGCACTGAGGGCACCTAAAAAGATGGTTATTATTTTTCAAACTATGACCCGAGACCCATTTTGGTTTACTTAACATAATGAAATCTCGACCCATCGGGGGGAGGGAAAAGCCACATGAATGCACAGCTCTCTGTCAACGCTCTGTCCCTACCTCCCTTCCCTTGGGAGGGGCTCAAAAAGGATTTTTGAGCCTACATAACAAGAAGGGCGCATTGCAATTTGCCCTGAATTCTAAGTATTGCCAGAAACGAGGAGCTTTGATTCCCCGCAGTCCCAGGGCCAGTGGGCGGTGGGCGACCGTCGGGGGGCCACCCGTGAGCTCCGGGACACAGCACTGCCATGTGGCGCCCAGCAGCTGCGCGCTGCATGTGGCCCGAAAGTCTTCATGCAATGAGAACAGTCGTGGGTCGTTTGGGGGAGGAGCTCGGGGGGTTTTCCTCCCTGTAAACGTCCCTACTCGAGGTCTGAAGGACCAGCACTTGGGGCCAGCGTCCCGCGGTGCAAATTCAGAAAGTGGAGAGAGAGAGAGAGAGAGAGAGAGAGAGAGAGAAAACTTACAGAACCACCAAGCTGGAGAGGTTCCCAAAAGCATAGTCTGGGATGTGGCGGATTTTGTTCAGGGCCAAGGTCATGGCCTGCAGGGCCGTCAAACTTCTGAAAGCCTGCACGGGGATCTCAGTCAGCGCATTGTCATCCAGCCACAGGTGCCGCAGGGCGTGCAGGCCGCTGAAGCAGCCGGGGGGCACTGCGCTGATGTGGTTGGCGTCCAGGCGTCTGGGGAGGAAGACAGAAGGCCGGTGACCAGGGCCAACCTGGGCAGGACGAGGACTTGGCGGCAAAACCATCCCCACATGATGAACAGGAGGGCATGGGGCGCGGTGGCTCTCCCGGTGGGCCCTCCTCGCGCCGCCCGGCCATGGCTGCTGGGGCCACGGAGACCCCCAGGCTCTGATTCCCTCCAGGCAGGCGGGTCACACGCTTCTGTGCACGGAAGTGGCCCCTGGGCCACGGTCTGTCAGGTGTCCCTGCTGACACCGGGAGATATGCCCCTTGCCCTCCCCTCAACCCAAGCCGAGTACCTGCCTTTGCTTTCTTTTTCTTTCCTTTCTTTTTTTAAAATATTGTATTTATTTATTTATTTATTTATTTATTTATTTATTTATTTGAGAAAGAGAGTGAGCCTGAAGAGGAGGAGGGGTAACAGGAGAGGGACAAGCAGCCTCCTCCCCACCCCAACTGCAGGGCTCGACCCCAGGACCCTGAGATCGTGACCCCAGGACCATGAGATCATGACCCCAGGACCGTGAGATTGCGACCCCAGGACCATGAAACCGTGACCCCAGGACCCTGAGATCGCAACCCCAGGACCATGAAACCGTGACCCCAGGACCGTGAGATTGCGACCCAGGACATGAACCGTGACCCAGGACCCTGAGATCGCAACCCAGGACCATGAAACCGTGACCCCAGGACCCTGAGATCATGACCCCAGGTCTGTGAGACCGTGACCCCAGGACCCTGAGATCACGACCCCAGGACCATGAGACCATGACCCCAGGACCCTGACATCGTGACCCCAGGACTGTGAGACCGTGACCCCAGGACCCTGAGATCGTGACCCCAGGACTGTGAGATTGTGACCCCAGGACCATGAGATTGCAACCCCAGGACCCTGAGATCATGACCCCAGGACCGTGAGATTGTGACCCCAGGACCCTGAGATCATGACCCGAGCCCCCAGCAGATGCTTAACGCGCCGAGCCTCCCCGGCGCCCCCAGGCCTCTCCTGTAAAAACACACAAACACACCATCCCACTGCTTTGCCCACCGAGCTGTGGGTGAGGATCGGGGGTCATGCAGGCTGCAGGGCGAACCCACAGTGAGAGAAGATGCAGCCCCCCTGCCCATTACTCAGCACAGTGCTGAGCGCGCGAAAACTGCCGGCTTTCTGGCTCCTTCTAACCATCTGCATGAGGCAGGTATTTGTTTCTCCCGACATTTTCTTTTTTTCTTTTTTTCTTTTAAAATTTTATTTATTTATGATAGTCACACGCAGAGAGAGAGAGAGGCAGAGACACAGGCAGAGGGAGAAGAAGCAGGCTCCATGCACCGGGAGCCCGACGTGGGATTTGATCCTGGGTCTGCAGGATCGCGCCCTGGGCCAAAGGCAGGCGCCAAACCGCTGAGCCACCCAGGGATCTCCCGACATTTTAAATAATAATAAAATTAACAGCTTTCTCAGCTTTTGCTTCTTTCTTCCACACACCGTTATTTATTTATGTTTTTGCAGGCCATTATGTCTGATATAGGTCTGGTCCCCGGGCTGTTGCAGCTTTAGAACCAGCAGAGGGAGTGCAATGCACTTACTTCGTCCCTACCCAACAGACACTCAGGTGGTAGTGACAACGACTGGACTTTTCTTATTGGAAGTTGCAATTTTCTGTAAGGTGCGTGAACAACGGAACCACCACCACCCTGCTATGCTTCCAATGACCCTCACTCACTTTTCCAATTTGTTCGTAAGGCTCACATATTTGTTTGCATTTCCAAAGCTAGGATTTAAAAAAAAAGGGTTGCATTTTAAGCAGCCCATTATTAGGAAGGATTAGAAAATCACGAGTGGATTCTGAAAAATGTTTTAGGAAGCATTTAAGACTAAACAGATGCAGGAGGCACACCAGGATCATGAAATAATCCCTTGCAAACCAAATTTAAACAGTTTAGAAGTAGAAGTCTCTCTAGTGGGGAGCTAATCTCTTCGGAAAGCAGCTTCCTCGCTTTTGGTCACATTTGTCACTTCACTCGTCCCCGGCTCCTCCTCCTCTTGACCAAATGGGGACTAGTAATGCCTGGCCCCGGACCAGGTTTTGATAATAACTGAGATAAGGTCACCTGGGATGAATTTGCAGGGTTTGGGGTTAGAGCCCCCTCACGAGCACATCTCCAGGAGGGCAGCGGTCATGGGAGGGAACAGTAAACGCAGGTTCCAAGGATCTCAAGGTCCTGCCAATAAACAGAACCCGAAAGGTTTAGGAAAACCCAATGCTGCCTCCTCCTCGTGCCTCCAGTGACAACCCGCTCAGCCCGGGTTCAAATCAGGAATGATTTCATCAGGGGGAGGAGGTGATGATTTTCCTTCGACCAGAAGTGAAGCATGGAGGGAAACTCTCGTAACGACCACACCGATTAAAGACGGGGGACTTTATTTAAATAATACGAGCCTCCACGTTTTAGGTGACAGATTGTAGGATCATGGCCAGTTGCTTATGTGATGCAGCAAGTGGCTTCTAGAGGCCTGAAGATGACTCATCTTAAAGTTCGGTGCAAACATTGGGGCCCATTTACAGAGAAGGCTCTCAGCGCTGAGCCAGAGGCCTGTCTTCTTCCAGCCTCAGGTTCCCGCTAATGTCCCTGCTGGATCTCGAAGTGACCCGGGTCTCAGTTTTCAATGTTAATAAACCCATTTCTCTGGATAGATGAATTTATGAAAAAAATTAATTTATCGTTTATGATTTAGGAATCACTTTTTTTCCCCCTCGAGAAAAGAATATGATCTGCCTTCCACATTGTAAGCTTAGGGCAATTTTGCACAGTCCTATCCCTTCACATACCAATACTCCCAGGTGTCCTGAGTGTGGCACTAAAACGGGTCTCTGCCTCAATAGTTCCTTCATATAAGAAGCTCCCCATAAACCACAGTTCTTCTAAACGCCGTGTTTGGAAGTCCTTGTCCACATGCCTCAGTGGCCCAAACAGCGAGTGGTGTACTGTTCACACCCAGAGACATTACCTGATTCAATCCTAACAGAAGATCCTAAGGCTAAACTGGAGTATGGAATTCATTATCAGGCCCGTCGTACAGGTGGTTCTCACAGAACAAAGTTAAGACTGCTGACAAAGCCGCTGGCAGGGCACAAGTTGTGCCTATTCAGTGAGTAAACAAAAAGATCATATCATGTCAATCTGGTTTGGGGCCGCTGGGCATTTTCTATTCATATGCTTGGAAAATGCAATATTTAAGTGCTGGCGTATAAGAAAAACATCACCACAGAGCCTCGAAAAACACAGCTCTGTAATATTATCAAATATGACAAAGAAAAATGACTGCACTCTATAGCTCCACTTTTTTGAGTGTTTCTTTGCTATTATTTCTATTTCATGCCAAGTCACAAAGGGTGTGTGTGTGTGTGTGTGTGTGTGTGTGTGTGTGTAGGCAGCTTAAAATCTGAATTAGTGCAGATATTTGGGACGAGAAACGTCAGGTCCAAGTCAGTGCACAGCAGCTGTGTGTGACTGTGGTCAAGTCAATAGACTTCAGCCTTTGCACCTGTAAAATGGGGGTAACAGCTATTTTATAGGGTTGCTTCATGATTAAAGGAACACATACACCAAACTATAAATTGCCTTAATGGTTTTAAATTATTATTACTTGAGGCTGGTTACAGTTTGTATTTGTATTTTTATTTTTTGACCATGGAAACCCCTGAGGAAAAAAAAAAGGTAGACTCAAATTTTGCCTAAAAGTTGGCCAAAAAGAATCCTATGTTGTCGGTGAATTTCGGTTCTGAAAAATGCTACTTCTTTCATTGCTCACGACAGAGATAATTAAGAGGTGTCTGGTCTCTTCAATAAATGGTGCTGGGAACATTGGACATCCACATGCAGAAGAATGAAACTAGACCACTCTCTTGCACCATACACAAAGATAAACTCCAAATGGATGAAAGATCTAAATGTGAGATAAGATTCCATCAAAATCCTAGAGGAGAACACAGGCAACACCCTTTTTGAACTCGGCCACAGTAACTTCTTGCAAGATACATCCACGAAGGCAAGAGAAGCAAAAGCAAAAATGAACTATTGGGACTTCATCAAGATAAGAAACTTCTGCACAGCAAAGGATACAGTCAACAAAACTCAAAGACAACCTACAGAATGGGAGAAGATATTTGCAAATGACATATCAGATAAAGGGCCAGTTTCCAAGATCTATAAAGAACTTATTAAACTCAACACCAAAGAAACAAACAATCCAATCAGGAAATGGGCAAAAGACATGAAGAGAAATCTCACTGAGGAAGACATAGACATGGCCAACAAGTACATGAGAAAATGTTCTGCGTCACTGGCCATAAGGGAAATACACATGAAAACCACAATGAGATCCCACCTCACCCCAGTGAGAATGAGGAAAATTAACAAGGCAGGAAACCACAAATGTTGGAGAGGATGTGGAGAAAGGGGAGCCCTCCTGCACTGTTGGTGGGAATGTGAACTGGTGCAGCCACTCTGGAAAACTGTGTGGAGGTTCCCCAAAGAGTTAAAAATAGACCTGCCCTACGACCCAGCAATTGCACTGCTGGGGATTTACCCCAAAGATTCAGATGCAATGAAACACCGGGACACCTGTACCCCGATGTTTCTAGCAGCAATGTCCACAATAGCCAAACTGTGGAAGGAGCCTCGGTGCCCATCGAAAGATGAATGGATAAAGAAGCTGTGGTCTATGTACACAATGGAATATTCCTCAGCCATTAGAAAAGACAAATACCCTCCATTTGCTTTGACGTGGATGGACCTGGAGGGTATTATGCTGAGTGAAGTAAGTCAATTGGAGAAGGACAAACATGGTATGTTCTCATTCATTTGGGAAATATAAAAAATAGTGAAAGGGAATAAAGGGGAAAGGAGAAAAAAGGAGTGGGAAATATCAGAAAGGGAGACAGAACATGAAAGACTCCTAACTCTGGGAAACGAACTGGGGGTGGTGGAAG